CAAAGAAGCAAATCTGTGAGTTGTCTCCCTTTGTTACTCTTTTGCTATATTGTTTTCTTGGTAAAGTTTAATCTTCATGCCCTCAAAAAAAAAAACAACAAATGGTATACGAAAAGTGTTGCTATTCCCTTGACACTGCTATTATTTTATATAACTAAGTCACCCTAAGCAATGTTTATTTACAAGATCCATAGAAATATATGGACAAGTATAATGTGATATTTATTATTTACATTTTATAGATTTATTATTTACCATTTTATAAAGAAATAAATTGGAAAAAGATATTAAAAATTTATTAAAAAAATTAAAAAAGACCAAAATATGTAAACCAACTACAATGCAATATTCATTTACTATTTTATAAATAACTTTGAAAGCAAGTTTTTTTATTCATAATTATATAAAAAAAATATCTATGAAGTAGAGAACAAGAAAATTAGAATAAAAAAACATGCTTTTTTGGACATTATACATTTTTTTTTTCAAATTACCTTATATCTCGGATTACTTTTTGTTTGAATTTTCCAAATTCTTTTATAATCGTGATCTTGGATCAACGTTGCTTAATGAATAGAAGTCCAAAGCCTGAAACTCCAGTAATTATAGATTTCCACACTTTTGACTCTTTTTTTTAAAAACTTTTAAATTGTTGCTAATTTTTTTTTTAAATATTGAGAAAATCTGACAGATTAAATAAGCAATCTAATAAATAAATAGCATTTTAACATCTTTGTTGCCAATTCTCAAGAATAAAGAAAATATATGAATCCATTTTCAAATGCTTGGGTTTTATTAAAATTTTAATCATCACCTTTTAAAACAAACATTACTGAGGAAGTGAAAGTAATATAAAATAATAATGGTGTCAAGGGAAAAAATGTCTTTTTGATAGATTATGTATAGCATGAGTAGTTCCATCTTGTTCAAGATGGAACAAGGGAAAATAATTTGTCCTAAAATCAAAGTACATTTAGGAAAAATGTAAATGCACATGTCACTTTAGGAAAATTATAAGCACACACTTCTTTTTTGTAAAAATGGAGATGTACATGTCAGTTTAGAAAAAATTGGAAGCATGCATATCAGTTTAAGAAAAATTGTAATTTCTCATGTCAGTTTAGGCAAAATAAACAAAATGGATCTTTTCCTATTTTTCAATTTCAATCTTATTATAATCTTTACTAAGTAAATAAAGTAAAATGTTTTTTTTTTAAATCCTAGTATAGGAGGACACAGTGAAGTAATGGATAGTGGCTCAGATAGAGAAACCAGAGAGCTGAGTTCAATTTCCAGTAAAGTTCTGTTTCATGTTGCCCTAGATTAAATGTAAAGTGTAAGCAATGTCAAATTTTCATTTCATAGTCAGCCCTGATGCAAACAATGTAAACTTTTCACTTTCCAGAAGTAATTCTGAAAATGTCTGCATACATAAATAATAAAAAACTGAGTAGACTTCAAAGACACTTCTAGGATTTCCCTAATATTGTGCGAATGATGGTGCTGGAAATACTTGCATCAACCTCATCCATTAAGAAGATTAATTATATTTTCTAAAATTTTCAGGAAATTCTACAGAAATCTTATTCAACATATGGATTACAGCAACTTTCTTCTCAAAGGCCAATGTCAAGTGGTAAGTTAATTAAATTGTATCAATGCAACTATTCAAAAGTATTTTCATTTCTTTAATCAGATGCATGTTTTCTTGGAGTTGTAATGTTCTTCATACGGCGCCTTTCAAAGATGCTAGCTCTTCTAAAACTGGTTGGGTCCCTCTACTTTGCATTTTAAAACATCATAACCAATTATCACCCTTTTTGGGACTTTATTTCAAGAAATATATCCCCAACCTAAAATCACAATCTTTTCAAATCATTTCACCCCACGCAAATTGATATGGTGCAAGGGCTTAAGGAGAATGAAAGAGAATAAGACATTAGTGAGAAGAAATGACAGTAAATAAACAGAGTGATGCTATATTTAAATTTTTGAAAATTATAGGTGGCAGGAAAGCAATAAACCAAAAAAGTTTCAGGGGTGAGAATTGAAAGAAAAAATATTAGAATAGAACTTATGTATTGTGTAAATTGCTCTTTGGAGTGGTTTGTAACACATCTCAGTTGCATCTCTGTCTTTGGGCAGAGTGCACTCAGGGACGACTCCATCAAAGGACAGAGTTACAACTGAGGAAAATAATACTGAGAGGTACCCAGCTCTGGTGAACAGCTGCCTGAGGCTATGCCCTTTTATTGCACCAGAGAGAGGGAATGGTGCTCACACTGATGCCAGAACAACCAACGGTTGTGGGGGCTGTGTAAATTTTTGTTCCTAGCCCGGGTATACGTGCTCAGGTCCCCACCTTAAAAACTATTTCAACAGTATAATGATGACATCTAGTTGCAAATATAGTGGTACACTTAAATTCATGAGGTTGAGATACCAAGGAGAAAAGTTCATTCAAACAATTGCCATGAAAATATCTATAGAAAAGACAGAGGGAAGCCATGTCAGAGTGTTGAGAAAGTGACTGAAGCAGAGATGTCAGGTCAAGACCAAAAACATTACAAACCTTTCTTTGGATTTTGTTGAGAATCTGGAGACATATAGCAGGAGCACCAGACCAAATATTCAAAGTACAGATGAATGGTAGATTTATAAATGTGCATTATGGATTCAGATAAAAAAATTGTTTGGTACAACACAGTGAACCAACTTTCCTAGCAGCAGACCTGGCAACTGATTCAATAATAATCATTTCACTTTCTGTTAGTAGAAAACATGAGACCAAGAAGGCACAATGTCTTGCTCTCCTGGAGGTTGATGGAAAGTGAACAAACTTTTCTATAATGATTAAAAGATAGCAGTTATCTTTTGGAGCCATTAAAATTAAGAAGACATTTCTTGCCCCAGTTAACAACTGATTGAAGGTCATTTTTTAAATCAGCTACCAGTCTATCGGACTTAAGATTAAAACAGTAGGGAATAGTTGAACTCAGTATAAATACTGTGTTGGGAACTGATGACATCTGGAAGGTTATTGATAAAAATAAGAAGCAACATAGGTCTGATGATAGAGAACTGGAGGATCTAGAAGCATAGCCATTAAATACGACTTGGATTACAGTATTTGCTAAGAAAGTTTGGATCAAGTCAGATATTCAGCCAGTGACACCATAACCCTTGAACTTGTGAAGGCCAGCATGACAAACTCTGTTAAACAACTTTGAGAGATTTAAAGCCACAGCCCAAGCCTTGCTGTGCTTATCTAAAACATGATAGACATATTCAGTAATCACTATTAACACATCACAAGTTAAGCCAGAGAAGTGAAAGCAATATTGTTTATCTGAAAGAAGGTCATGCAAAATGAAATGCTTAACCAATTCAGAGTTAATTAGAGCCTCTAGTACTTTGTCAAAATGAGTTAAAAGATTATTATGAAAATAATTTGCAGGATGAAAGGTTCTTCCGAGTGCTTAAAGACAGGAACTACAGAAGAGGATTTCCAACAAGCAGGAAAGTAAGATGTGAAGTGGCATTTGTTGTAGAGTTTGAAGAAATCAGTGTTAGGTAATATGATCAGATATTGGTTCCTTTCCTTTGCATTAAAAAATAAGGCATTAATTGCCATCTGTGAATGTTTTTGAGATCCTGTTTAAAATAATTCCTTAATTGCCATCTGTGAATGCTTTTGAGATCCTGTTAAAAATAAGGCCTTAATTGCCAGAATCTTGAGTACATATATCCACCATTATAACATCTAAAACAAAAGGTACAGCTGAATAGTGTTGATGATGATTATAATACATTGCACACACCATACACAAGTGGATATTGACAGGTTGTATCTGAAGGAGACTGTAGGACAAAAAGAACTAATATCAATTGAAGATTATTTGAGAATAGAAGTCTAACCTCGAGCAGGTATTACACCTGGTTTCATCAGATACGCATAAACCAAAAACCCTATTAGCAGCAGCCTTTCAGCTTCTGTGCACGCATAAAAAAACTAGAAGCGTACATAGTACAAATCCCAAGAGGCTAACTCTCATACTGTGCTGGAGATGAAGTAAGACATGAAACTCTGTGCTCATAGGACATATGTGGAATAGATATGACACCTCTCTCTCTCTTTCACTCACCAACATAGTTCAATCACATCCATTTCTAAGTTTTTAAAGGGACTATCATAAGAACATTCCTTGAATTTATGGTTTCTTTCTGAAACTATCATTGAAAGTTCTCAATAGAATAAAAATTCCTATTGCATTTTATTCATTCTCTTGTTTGTCTATTTCTCTCAAATAATTCAACACTTGTTGTTTTTGTTCATCAACTTAATCTTAAACAATGACCCCCAAACCAAAGACAGCAAACTTCTTGAATTGAACTTCTTGACAACAACAGGAAGAAGCTGATTGTGTAAAAGGAAAAAAAACAAAGGAAAATAAGGGATATTAGATTTAAAAGGAATCCAAGAACAACATAAGATAGCAAGAAGGCATTGCATTGACAACTTCCTTTTTGGTATCTTAACAAACATAAATTTAAGTGTACAACTAGATTGACAATTAGGTCTCATTGTTTTACTATTGAAATAGCTAAATGTAACTGTAGGTTCAATTCTAATAGTTTCTTTTCTTGCCTTTCGAACTCTCTTCTGGTTTCTTGCTTCCCAACCACCTACAATTTTTAAATATTTCAATGAAACATAAATTGCAATCTTCAGTTCTTTTATTGTTCTTTTTCCTTACTAAAGTCTTCTCATTCTCTTCCACTCCCAGTAATCCCTTGCATCTTAGTAGCTTTATTGCTTTGTTTGGTGTGAAATGATTAGAAAAGAAAAAAAAAACAACAGAAGGAAGTAGCAACAAAATTAGTTCAAACGTGTTTTTGTTTTTTTTAAAGAAAGAAACTGTTTTTCTATAATAGCAGCTCAGGAGATCAGGATATTAATCTACATAATATCAGAAAGCATGTGTAAACATACAACATGACCCTTGACCCACCCCACAACACTCTGGTTTGTTTCTCTATTCGTTATTATTATTTTATTTCCTTTGATTTCTGGTGTGTACTCATTTCTTTCTGAGGTCTCAACCAAAGACCTAAGGTCAAAAATGACCTCATGACATTTTCCACTGATCAATTTAAAAAAAAAATATTATTAAAAGCTTTATTCCAGTTTGTTGCTACTGATTATTATTACATAGATTTCTTGTTACTATTTCATTATTTTATTACAAACTTAACTTAGTGATATTATCACAACACTCGGAGAAGTGTTTTAACAGAGGATAGAAAATGCAACACCAAATCTGAATGCACATTGGAATAGTTGTTAAAACACTGACTCAAACTTTATAAAATAGTAAATAATAAGGATCTCCTTATAATTAGTTCACTTTATTTTAATTTAGTAAAATGTTTATAAATTTATAAATAAAAAAAAATAAAAAAAATCTTCATCTTTATTTCTTTATAAATTGGTAAATGATAAATATTGCATTGCATTAGTTTTAATTGTATTAATTTTTAGAATGTTGTAAATATAAAATTATTCTTGTAAATAAACACTCTAATAACTAAGTAGTGTTTAATGTTTTTGTGGTGAAAGAACAAGAAAAATGTATAAAATTCAATTTCATCATATGTTTAGGTTTTATTACAATTCTAATCATTGCTTTTTAAAACAATAAACATTGCTGAAGAGTGAAGGTAGTTAAAATAAGACCAGTGTCAAGGGAAAAATATTCTTTGAAATTCTGTTCTTTTGCAGGCACAAAGGTCCATGTTTACCAAAAATTTTTATATGTCTACTTTTTACAGGGTGAATATTATTTTGAAAAAAAATTAATTTACTAGGAAATCTTGCAAATTGTCAGATTCTTGTAAGTTGAAAACTTTTTGGAAATGTGATCTCTGTAATAATCAGATTTTAGTGATTCCTTATAAAAGGAATCTTTTAATTTTTATGATATTTCTTTCAGCAGCTGCAATCAAAAGTCATTCCATGAAATCTCCAAAATTTCAGAAAAGGTTAAATCCACTGAAGAATCCAAATTTTGGAATGGGAATCGTTCCACCAACATCTCCAGAGTTTCATACAGATCTGAATGAGTCTTTGAGCCAACAGGAAACAGAGAAAATTGCTGGCAGAACTGGTCTGTATAAAATAATCTCCTGATCTTTGTTGTTTTTTATAAATTATTCTGACTAACATCCTCATCTTCATTGTATTTATCATATTTTTCTGAAGTTCCAACACAGAATTACATTAGTTATTCAACTGGTATCTTCATCTTTATTGTTTTTATCACTATGCTATGTCAGTGTGCTCTCTACTGTCTGAATTCAAAAATGAATTATTATCTCCACTCCATGAATTATTCTGACAAGCATCCCTGTTCTTATTGTTTTTATCACAACATTTCTTTTGAAATGTATAGGATATAAACTCCTATATTTTATGGTCAATAAGTGAAACAAAAACAAGAGACATCTACATATAAATCTTACTAAATTCAGTATATACAAAAACATTTTAAAAATTTACAGAGATCCAAATTAAATAAGTGATTTCTGGAACCTGATTGGATAGGACAAGTCACAGGCTGTGCTCCTATGTTGAACACCAAATGACCTGGAAAAAGGTCAGGGCTCGGGTTACTGAGTACATTCCTGCACAAAACTCAGTGATTCGAAGCCGAGCCATAGTGATAAAAATGGCTTGCCAGGGACAGTCAATGACCATATCTGTTAAAAACAGTGAACAAGGCCCTGCATCAATCAACAGCATAGACACATATTAGCATAACAATATGTCAATCAGCAACGATTTTTCTACACTGAAAAACACACAAAGCCATGATGAAAGTAAGTCCTGTCTCCTCTCTTCTTTGTTCACTGTGTATAAAATTACTGCTACTGCACACAATCAGTCAGCATTCACGCATGTTTCATTAGTATGTGTTTCACACACATGCACATATTGGTATTCAATACTGCTTGTTTTTCTCACTTGCAACAAAATCCTTTCAAACTATTGGTCTCTTCATAGCCACAACAAAGAACTTTGAATTTATATATGTAAATACATGTATCTGACCGTATAAATGTTATTGTCATATTTAGCTTGGTCTTCTTTTTCTAATCATTTTTTCACATTGTTTATAAATTTGTGTTTTATTTGTGGGCACAACACTCAGATATTATTTTTCCATCTAAAACCCAGGTAGACCAAGCCCACATATGCTTTTTCTTTATTTTTTAGATGTATAGTGTATTTAGAAGTCCTTGAATGTTGCTGAGGAATGCCATAATATTTATTATCCAAGCAATGATCTGTGTTGTTCCTGTTATGAAAGAAAAAACATCCTGGGCAACACTTAAGGACTACTAGATACAAAAAACACTTTCAGAAAATCAGAGAATATATCGACCAAAACATTGTGAAAATATCTATGAATTGTCTTGTTCCTCAGTTATGTGCCATGCATGATACACGCTTAGGCAATCATGTATCTTTCGATACATGACTGGCAAAGCAGATTATTTCCCACAGTAGGTTGCCATTTCTTTCTGCAGTAAACCAGTTGCCATCCCAGGCTATAGAACTTGGTTTGTCCTGCTATTTACCCATAGCTGATGGGGAGAAGAGGATTCATACCTTTCCCAAGGGTATTAGCATGTAAGTGAATATCAGTTCAGTTATGTGCCATGCATGGTACATGCTTAGGCAATCATGTATCTTTCGATACATGACTGACGAAGCAGATTTTTTCCTGCAGTAGGTTACCATTTCTTTCTGTGGTAGACCAGTTGCCATCCCAGGCTATAGAACCCAGTCTGTCCTGCTATTTACATATACCAGGGGGGGTGGAGAAGAGGATTCATACCTTTCCCCCAGGTGTATTAGTATGTAAGTGAATGTAATGGATTCAAATGGAATTCAAACTCGACTCTGGGATTTCTCAATCCGAGCCAATATCCATTACTCCACCATGCCTCCTTGTATTATTCCTACTGAGAAGATAGTAAAATTACTTTATTACAATGTCTATCAGATGCAAAAGACAAGCAAGAAAAAGCAATGAATATCAGAATATATCAGGCAAAATGGGATCAACTTTGAAGACAGACATCCAAATACCACATGGTGGCGGACATGAGACAGAACGTGGGATGAGCACAACTGGTCGCAACTTGCCTTGTCCCCGCCAAAAAAGAGCCCATATTTGCTTAGCATGTAAAGCTACTGCAGTTGAAATGAGGGAGAAAAAGCACTTACCAGCTTTCTGCCATAATCCGTCCTCGGCCAGATAACGTAAAAGAATGAGGGGACTTGCATTGCATTTTATGCAATAAAGATGCAATGCATTATGGGTTTATGGACGCAATGAATTATGGGATCACATGAAGACGCAAGGGATTATGGGTATATGGACAACTATAAAAGCAACTACTTTTTTTTTCCGAGTGGGGCAGTTCTTCGAGTGACGTTCATGGTTGGCGGCAAGAACAGTCAGTTAGTGTGATTTTGAGACAGAACTCAAGAAGGAACGACTCAAGGTTGAAATACCAGCTGGGAGAGCTTGAATTTACTCGCTGGTTGCTGTTTTCTTTATTCGCCTCATTTCATAACTATTTTCCATACTTTTTCATTACAAATTCATTCCCTCATGCCCTTATTGTTAACTATAAACTGGACTTATCTCTGTCTTTTGACTTTTACAAGCCAGAAATGAGTTTACCTTTTTAATACTAATGCAAACCAGATTGGAGTCTACCTTTTTAAATCTAGCCAAAGCCAGAACTTAGTCTACATTTTTAACTGTTGTGAACCAGATTTGATTCTACCTTTTTGACTTTAGTGCAAGCCAAATGCGAGTCAACCTTTTTGCCATTAGTGTAAACCAGATCTGTGTCTACTATTTTGACTCTAGTGCAATCTTCACTCTGGTACAAATCAGAGCTGCACCTACCTTTTTGATTCTGGTGTCAACCAGAGCTATGACCACCTTTTTGACTCATGTGCAATCTTCACTCTTCTTCATGCCAGTGTTCAGCCTACGATTTTGAATCTGGCATAAACCAGTTCGATGACTACCAATTTATTAATTTAGTAATTTGCCCTCTACATCTTATATTTAATATTAAATAATGTCACAAGTTTTAATATGTGGTTAAATTAACCAACTTAACTCCGTCACCAGAAGACATGATCTTTACAAACGAAAGTTAAATATTTAATGCAAAAACTAAATTCAACAAGTAGTGTCAAGTAAGATGTCATTATTATATATGCATAAACACTCCTGCAATTTCTGACATAATTGGGTTATAATATGCATGCTAATTTAATTAAATTAAAATCAGAAACAAAGATGAAATTAAAAAAATGAGAAGACGCAAGAGGAATAGAAAGAAAGATAAAGTGGGGAGAGGAAAAGAAAATATAAAGAGAGATAATGAGGAAATATATATATATTTAATCCTTTCACTCCATGCAAGCAATAAAGCCACTAATGTGCAAGGGGTAACTGAGTGTGAAAGAATCTTGAGAAAAAAAAAAAAAGAGAGAGAGAGAACAATAAAAGAACAGGATTTAAGAATACAGAAGATAACAACTGACATTGATCTCCAAAAACTGAAGGGCAAAGTTGACCAGAAAGCAAGAAGTCTGAAGAGAATTCCACAAGCAAAAAGTGTGAGAGAAGAAACTATTAGCATAGAATTTAGGATTACATCTCACAATTTACATTTTAAAATGACGAGACCTTGCCACAAATCCACTACAGCACTTAAATTTGCAAAGTCTAGGTACCAAAGAGTAAAGTTCATCAGAACAATTAGCATGAAAATATTTATAGAAAAGAGACAGAGAAGTTATGTCAGGGCAGTGGAAAAGTGACTGAATCTGAGATGCCAGGTCAGGACCAATAACATTGGAGATTCTAATTTTATTAAGAATCTCTAAATTTATATCAGAGAGCAACAATCCAGATCTGGCAGCAATATTCAAAGCATGGGTGACCGTAAGACAGATTCTATTGAGAAAAATTGTCTAGCACAACACAGTGAACCAACTTTCCTAGTAGCAGACCTAACAATTCAATATAATGTTTGCACATCATGTTAGTGGAAAACATGGCCCAAGAAGGTACAGTGAGTCACTCTCCTGGAGATTAGCATCAGCCATGCTGATGGAAAGCAAAATGTGTTCTCTCAGATGATTAAAAGAGAGCAGTTTCATTTTGGAGGCATTAAAATTAAGGAGCCATTCCTTTCCCCAATTAACAACAAATTGTAGGTCATTTGGACCTTATTGAGCTTACTTTCAAGACAGGAGTATCATCAGCATAGATAGCAAGGGAACTGATGACATCAGGTATTAAGAACAATGTAGGTTCAAGGATAGATCCAGGAGAGATACCTACATTAATGCAAACACATCATGAAAACTGGCTGTTTAAGACAACTTTCATTTCGTGATTTGATAAGATAAATTGAATAAATTCAAGAATTCATCCAGAAATACTATAACCTTTCAACTTGTAAAGACAAGCATTTCAAACCTTGTCAAATGCCTTTGAGATATCCAAAGCAACAGCCTGAACTTCACCATTCTTATCTAAAGATTGATAAACTTTTTCAGCAATAATCATTAATACATCACCAGTTAACCTAGTGAAGTGAAAAACATATTGCTTATCTGAAAGAAGACTCTGCAAGGTGAGATGCTTAACCAATTTAGAGTTGATTAGAGCCTTTAGTATTTTGCCAAAAATAGTTAGAAGGCTAATAGATAAAAAGGAACAGACATTTTGTCTGAGTTCTTAAAGACGAGAGCTACAGAAGAGAATTACTAACAATCAGGAAGGCAAGAAACAGCAAGGCAGATTTATTGTAAAGTTTAAAGAGAACAGTAGTCAGTTCAGGAGCCCATTTTGTTAAGGGATACATTTCTTAAGGATGTAAGTAATACCCTCAAGTCCACATGCTTTGTAAGATAAGAAAGAAAGATAATGACGTAAATATATATAAAGAAAGACTGACTGAAATATTAAAATATTAAAAGGAAAGATATATATATATATATATAATTATTTATTTTAAAAATTATAACATAAATATGTTATAAAATCACTACAAAAATAGCCATTTTGTTTCAACGCTTCTGGTGTCTTATCAAGTGATCACTTGATAAGACACCAGAAGTGTATTGAGCACTCTTTTAAGAATAGTAATTGTTGATTATTGGAATTCATTCCGTATACACCAATTATATACTTGGAGATTATATAAAGAAATTTTCATGGGTCTTTCTAGTAATGTAAGATTTATGATTTAGCAAGAAAGAAAGATAATGACGTAAAACTATACAAAGAAGAACGGTGACTAAAATATTAAAAGGAAAGATAGTGGAGATCTATAAAGAAATTTTCACAGGTCTTTCTAGTAATGTAAGATTTACAATTTAGCAATATATCAGATATTAATTTTACCTAAAGCATTTGTATTTTTATCAGTCATAATTATCCTGAGAACATAAATTATTTTAAAGTTTCAAAGATTATAAAATTGATTATTGATTATCTTTAAGTCAGTGATTGTTTTTTTTTTTTTTAGATTTTGGAAATGTTCCTGCATTGGATAAGTCATCTTCCAGTTCATTCACGCCAGAAACCAGGCATGAAACAAAAGCAGATTTCATTGAGAGAGAAAAAGCCAGGCTTTCTGCAGAAGGAAACAAAACTGTACAGAGTCTCTCAGAAAAAGATCAGAAATATTTACAAAGTGTCAAGGATCGACTAAATTTACTGACAGGTGAAAAAAATGGGCAGAAAGAAAATTTAAAATTTCCTGGCAATAAAGCAAAGGATTTTCCAGCTTTGAGGAACAAGCATGATTTAAGATCAAGTTTTTACCAAGACACAGTAAACAAGCAAGGTAAGTTCTTTAATTATGAAGTGGGATATAAAAGTTAACTCGCAGTGAGTCACCCAGATTTAGACATATTCTTTTCTTTGAATGTTACCTTGTAGCCATGATTATTAATACTACTACTAATAGTAGTATAGTAGTAGAATAAAATTAAAAAAAAAAACTTCTGCTGGTTGCTTTCCGAGTGTAATTGGTGCAGCACTGTCACAGTAAAGCAGTTTTTCAAAGAGGAATACATAAGAATTCAAATCTCATCATTTGCCTATTTTTTTGTTCATGCTGCTATTTAGAATAGCAAATTTACATACATACATGCATACACACACACACACATATATATATATATATGTGTGTATGTGTGTGTAAATATATAGTAAAATTAGGAAAGAACATGTTAAGTAAATAATCCAGAGTTCTTTAATATATTTGTTTTTATTTTAAAAAAAGAAACAGTGCTCCATAAAATAGTACACCTTAGATTATAATTATTTTTTAAAAAATATGATTACTTCGCTACATAAGAGTTTTCATGTTTCAAAAACAAGAGTATCAAGCTCTGTTTCCTCCTGAAGTGAAAATTTAGGTTCCTAAATTTTTGCTTGAGGATGAAACAGAGCTTGATACTTTAATTCAAATTAAATTTTAATAATTATATTGAGGATTTTGGCTCTTGTTTTTGAAACATGAGAACTCTTATGTAGCGAAGGAATCATATTTTAAAAAAAATAATTATATATATATATATATATATATATATATATATATATATATAATTATTTTAAAGAAATCAAATTTTTTAAAAATAATTATATATATATATATATAATTAACAAATTAGGGACTTCAGAAAGCCATGGTAATATTTTATTTCATGAGACTGATAAATTCGATTTCACTTTGTCAGAACTTGACAATTTCAAAACAATGTATGGATTCAAAAATTCTTCCAGGAATCAACTGAAAAACAAAACAAAAAACAAGATTAATTTGTGTTTTAAGGTAGTTCTACAAAGTGGGAGGGGAAGGATAGAGGTGTATGTTTCTAGGAGATGTGATAGTAGTAGTTTTGACCTCTTATTCACTGGACTCGAGAAAGGGGAAATGGTTTATCAAAACTGGAACAAGGAAAAAGGAAAGATAAGGGAACAGGAGAAAAAGAAGAACCAGTGTACCCAAATACATATGCCTACATACATACACATTTTCCTATATACACTTATAAATGCACATACACATATGTGCCTACATTCATACAGACATTTGCATCTATCTACACATAAATGTTTTCATATAAATGTCATCACACATACATCTATATACCCACATATATAGACACATACTCATACATTTATCTATTTGTATTCATAAGCACTCATGCACATATTTGACTAGTACATTTCTAAGTTGGTACTTAAATAACATGTCAGATGTCTTCAAATACATTACTAGTCCTGCAACTGTAAAGGGGCACTTAAGACTGTTTACATCAAATGACCCTACACGTCTACACAACACGTAATTCATACACCTACTCATAAGAGAGTACAACATATAGCTACTGAATATGCATATGTACCTGTTAATCTTCCGGTAATCTTGTTTTTTGCTTCATTTTTCAGTTGATTCCTGGAAGAATTTTTGAATCCATTCATTGTTTTGAAACTGCTCAGGTCTGACAAAGTGAAATCAAATTTATTGGTCTTGTGAAATAAAATATTACCATGGCTTTCTGAAGTCTCTGATCTGTGAATTAATTATTACTTGCTCTGTTTACTACATTGAGCTCTTGGGATTTATATCCTCCCTGGAATTATCCATACGGATTACCATTTAACTTTATCTCATATATATATATATATATATATATATGTGTGTGTGTGTGTGAAAATATATAGAAAATAGGAAAGAACTTGTTAGGTAAATAATCCAAAGTTCTTTAGTATTTTTGTTATTATTTTTAAAAACAGTGCTTTTATGTAGCGATGGAATCATATTTATATATATATATATATATATATATATATATATATATATATATATATATATTATTAAGGCATGTGTTTGTTAAAAACTACAGAACTTTTCTATTTAATTATCTTTTTTTTTGTTTTTCCTTGCTTTCTCGCAAGTTTTTTTTTTGTATTTGGGTCTAATTTGTTAAAATAAGACCCTAGTCCATGGCGTTTTGCCAAGTCCTTTCAGTTATCATCAACTGTCATCTTGGCTGTATGTTTTGGTTTGAAATAAGTTGTTTATTATTTTTGTTTTATAGATAATATTTTCGGTATTTAGACAATGTGGTTGGATTAGTTCTTTATTAATAAGGAGGAGGGTTGGTGTTTATTATTTGGAGGATTAGTGATTAAATATGTTTACGATGTTTCTGCCAGTGTTAAATGCTATTTTATTTATGTTGGGTTTTTGGTTTTTAATTAGGATGGCTTCAAGAATTTGTAATTGTTTTTTGCATTTGTTTTTATAGAGGACTTTGGTGTTTTTAATTAAGATTTTCCTTATTTCAGATGATTTGAATGTGTTATATATAGCTGGCCAATCGTATTTGAGGATGCCCATCTACTAGGGCAGCTAGTCAATCCCTATTGCAGACGCTTGCTCAGGCACATTTGTATTTGCTCAACACCCACAGAGTCCACCTGTGGTTTATACTGCAACTATTCTGAGGAGACCTTAGTTACAGTTTCTGGAAAAGAGCATGTTATCTCGTGTGATCAACAATCTGAACAAGTCCAGCACACTCAAACCCTAGGTCACAATGACTTGTGACTTGGGACTTTGTGCAAGCACAGCTGTCAACGGCCCCCAAGGGTTCCAACTACCCAATTTCACTCACAAGGCTTAGGTCAACCCGTGGTATGGTTTTCAGGCATTTTCCAAAGATGCCACATGCTGGGATCGCCTGCTCCAGACTGATAATATCAGAAGTCTACTTCCTGACTAGTCAACTGTGGTGAGATTCGAACTAGGGTCTCATGGTCAGAAAGCAAACATTCTTACCACTTGGCCACATGTCCATTATATATATATATATATATATATATATATATATATATATATATAGATATAGATAGATAGATATATAGGCTAATTCTATAAATAACAACCACCTGCGCTAATGCAAAGCTGTTTAGTAAAATGAATTTGGAGCACTCTGACTGATTGGCATTTGTTTACATTTGTAAAAACAATATACTAGAATTAGCTGTTTCTCTCTGCTGAGTGAAGATAGCTCAGTGGTAGAATTTCCTGTCTTTTGTTGCTCTTTGTACCTTTTCCCCTTTACCACTGCTCTTTGTGCTTGTCCTGTCATCCTTTCATGCAAACTTTACCTCGTGCCTTTAATATGTACTGCAAGTGTTATATTCTCCAAGCCTTCTTTTCTCATTGTGTTCCAGAAATTTTAGCTTTCTGGTTGCTTCCTTCAAATTCATGCTCTTCCTCATTAATCACATGATCTGTCCATGGTATTCTCAGCATGCATTGGTAGACCTGTAACATCTAATATTACTTGTGTAATAAAAACCAAGAGAAATAAGAAATACTAATCACAAATTAATAGTAATTAACTATTTTAGAAATTAGAAATGAATTAAAATTGACCATTTATTACAAAATAATTTGATTTCAGTTTTATAGTCATTGAATTTTAACTATTACATCATGATATGGCAGTATGCATAAGGATAAAAAAAATAATAATAATGATAATGACTTGAAAAATTTACATTGAATTAGATTTTACAAGCTGGCTATGAACTTGGTGCTTGACAATGAAATAAGCTGTTTCTTAAGTGATACAAAACAGATCCAGTGATTGTTTTTATCTGTCAGGACAAATAGAAAATTAAAAAATCCATATATTTACATCTAAACTGTCTCGTCATTTTGATCAAGCACTATTGAGTAAAAGGTAATTCCAAAAAAGTAGCCATTGCTGCTATTAACTCACTGCTCTTCATTAATGAATTGAGCACTCTGGCTGTTGGCGTTCATATACATTTGTATATAATACTTTAGAACTTTCCTTTCTCTGCTGTGCACCAATAGCTTAGGGGTAGGATCTCTGACTGATGGCATATCAGTTGGTTTTCAATCCTGGCTTAAAGTAATTGCATCATGAGCTGTGATACAGCTAAACAGGCTTGTATGTGGATGATATATATATATATATATATATATATATATATATATATATACACATAGACAAACTTAAATACAATTTAAATACTGCAAATATTCCTATAGAGGAGTTTGAACTTGCTGTTGAAAACTGAGCAAAATGGAGAAACACCTGCTACCGAGGTATAACTAACTTTGAAAAGAATTGTCTCAACCATCTGAGAGAATTAAGAACCAATACTAAATCTCAGGCCAATTCATCAGTCTCATATGAAACATAAACATAAAAACTGAACTGAAAGACATTCATATGTCAAAAATGACGAGAGTGTTCATTATATATATATATATATATATATATATATATATATATTTGCAGTCATTTATCTTGATTTGGGAAAGTAGTAATTCTTTTCAGGAATGGGGATTTCAGAAAAAATCTGGAGTAGCAGACTTATATTTTAATAAGATTCAATAGTGGCAATCTCAAGGATTTTCCTTCCAAGAAAGTTACTTTTTCTTTTGATAAGTATGGCATTCTTTAGATCAAAGTTGTGGTTTAGTTTGTTTATTTTGTATATAAATACTTGTTACAAAATAAAATCCTTGCATTTGCCTTGATAAAGTCCCACAGAGGACGAAATGCGTCAACTAAGATAAGTTTTCTTTTTTCTTTTTATTATTCATATTGTCTTTTTACAGATATACTGTAGCTGAAATATATATATTTTTCCAACAAAAAAACAAAAATTACCTCAACATGGTATAGTCTATGTCAAGCTGTTCTGTATGCGGCTATCATTAGCCCCTAAGCACCACAATGACAAATTTGATGTCCCCATGGGAGCATATGACTCAGCTCAAGTTCA